ATAAAATTTAATTGCTATGGCAGCATTTAGTTGCCATTCTCATTGTGTTTCTGAGTATAGTGGTAAAGTTATATTTGATAAACCTATTCAGAAAACATCTAATATAATAATGAATTGCTCCACAAAATGTCATCACTGTTAAACTATTGACACAGTGGAGAGTTTGTCTCATGTGACAAATCCAAATCATGCACTATATGGTACAAAGAATGTTTTTTAAATTTTAGCCCAAATTCTGTCTTGTACATTCATTTTTAGAGCAACTATGTTGATGCCATTATCATAGCTCTGCCTAGATAACCTTTCAGATTAATGTCTACCACTGAAAATTGTGTTTTTAAATATCCTCATTTTAATCAAAACCCAAGCTTTTACCAACATATATAAAAGAAATTAAACACTCTTAAATTTTAGTTTTTGGGGGTTGGTTCAAACATTTGAATAATAGAAGTTATTTTCCAACATGAATTTTGTTTCTGGTATAATACAGTTGAACTTAGCATTTTTAGATTTTTATTTTGTGGATGATTTATTTTCTCACTTTATTACACATAAAATTTTCAAATCTTATTTTGGGTTCTTTTTAGATAATAATCATTGGTTTCTTTCTTTTTAAAATTAAGTTAAATTTAATTTTAAGTTCTGGGCTACATATGCAGGACGTTTGCTACATACGTTTGTGCAGGTTTGTTACATGGGTAAACATGTGCCATGGTGGTTTGCTGCACCTATCAACCCACCACCTCAGTGTTAAGCCCCACATGCATTAGCTATTTATCGTGATGCTCTCCCTCCCACAGCTTCCCCGACAGACCCCAGTGTGTGTTGTTCCCCTCCCTGTGTCCATGTGTTCTCATTGTTCAGCTCCTACTTATAAGTGAGAACATGCAATGTTTGGTTTTCTGTTCCCTTATTAGTTTGCTGAGGATAATGGCTTCCAGCTCCATCCATATCCCTGCAAAGGACACGATCTTGTTCCTTTTATGGCTGCATAGTATTCCATGGTGTATTTGCACCACATTTTCTGTATCCAGTCTATCACTGATGGGCATTTGGGTTGATCCGTGTCTTTGCTACTGTGAATAATGCTACAATGAACATATGCATGCATACATCTTTATAATAAAATGATTTATATTCCTTTGGGCATATACTCAGTAATGGGATTGCTGAGTCAAATGTTATTTATGGTTCTGTAGGTCTTTGAGGAATCACCACACTGTCTTCTACAATGGTTGAACTAATTTACATTCCCATCAACAGTATAAAAGCATTCCCATTTCTCCACAGCCTCACCAGCACCTGTTGTTCCTTGACTTTTTAATAATCACCATTCTGACTGGCTTGAGATGGTATCTCATTGTGGTGGTTTTGATTTGCATTCTCTAATGATCAGTGATGTTGAGCTGTTTGCATATGTTTGTTGACCACATAAATGTCTTCTTTTGAGCAGTGGCTGTTCATGTCTTTTGCCCACTTTTTAATGGGGCTGCTTGTTTTTTTCTTGTACATTTGTTTAAGTTCCTTGTAGATTCTGGCTATTAGACCTTCGTCAGATGGACTGATTGTAAAAATTTTCTCCCATTCTGTAGGATGTCTGTTCGCTCGGGTGATAGTTTCTGTTGCTGTGCAGAAGCTCCTTAGTTTAATTGGGTCCCATTTGTCAATTTTTGCTTTTGTTGCAATTGTTTTTGGTGATTTTGTCTTGAAATATTTGACTGTGCCTATGTGCTGAATGCTATTGCCTAGATTTTCTTTTAGGATTTTTACAGTTTGGGGTTTTACATTTAAGTCTTTAATTCATCTTGAGTTGAGTTTTGTATGAGGTGAAAGGAAGGGGTCCAGTTTCAATTTTCTGCATGTGGCTTGCCTGTTTTCCCAGCACTGTTTATTAAATAGGGAATCCTTTCAATGGAATAGAATAGAGATCTTAGAAATAAGACCACACATCTACAACTTTCTGATCTTTGACATTTGTTTCTTTATTTTTATTGGGCTTACATGTTGAAACATTATAGCATAACATTTCTCAATAATTTCTATTTAAACTAAAAAATTCCCGTTGTTTTCTGAAAATGTTTGTTGTTTGTGCTATGAAAACTTTGGGATAAATATGAAATACATAACATTTAAAAAATATATCATGCTAATATCCTATGTCTTTCTTTACAGAATGCTATCAATTTTTGCTGTTTAAATTTTTTAAAAATTCTAGTAATCACACATTTTGTTTTGTGTTTGTGTATACATGCACAACTGATATATTTGTGTTCTTTTGTTTGAGAACCTAAGTGTTGTTAGCAACAAATACCTTCATTTTGAAGATTAGTTGTGAAGCATTTGACAGTAGTAACGTAGTATTTTGTTTTTGACGTGAAAACGTAAAAGTCAGTTTTAACACTTTTCTCTCCATTTGAGAGAATTTTGATATAAAATGGAGTATAACATTTTCTGCAATGTTCAGGCAATGAAAAATCAAAATCATTTACTTGCAGCAGAGTGTATTTTGCAAGAAACATTTTCACACTGTCAAAAAGTCCACATGGACTGTTTTCTAGAATCATCATCTAATAAAGAGAAAAGTTCCAGAGATTTTGTCTTTCTCATTCAACTTATAATGCATGAATGTCATTTTTTTTTTGCATCTTTTAAAGGGAAATGCTGAGTTGCATTTGATGTTTTTGGGTTGTTATTTTGATATAAATATTGTTTCAAATCTTTTTTGTTTTGATAAGTAATTAAATTTTCAATTAATAAGAAATATTCATATTTTAAAATGTGAATTATTGAGTTTTCTTAGTTGCAGGAATTTTGTCAGAAGCCTACAAGTTGTGGATTTGACTGGGACAATTTCTTGTACATTTCCATTGTTTTGAACAGTCAGTAAAGCCTCAGTATATATAGAATTTGTAATATCTTATTCATAAATCTTATGTAGATTATGCTTAACATGCATTTGTTCAATTTAATTGTGAGTTTAAAAAAATCAAGAAAACATCCTCTTTGAAGATTCTTTATTTCTTCTTTCTATTTTGGGGTTACTTTTACATTTTCTACTTCTTTTGTGATTTTGACTTGTAGTCACACCTAAGGATCTAAAAGATTAAAAAATTAAATGTATTTTTACCACATTTTCATTCAAAATTACAACTTAGAATATATATACAATTTTAAAAACTAAATGTAGTTTTTCAAAAGAAGTGTTTTCTTCTAAAATATTTAAAATCATTTCTTTTTTTTTTTTTTTTTTTTTTCTGAGTTGGAGTTTCACTCTCGTTACCCAGGCTGGAGTGCAATGGCATGATCTCGGCTCACTGCAACCTCCACCTCCCAGGTTCAAGCGATTCTTCTGCCTCAGCCTCCCTAGTAGCTGGGATTACAGGCATGCGCCACCACGCTAATTTTATATTTTTAGTAAATTTTGTAGTTTTAGTAAAGACAGGGTTTCTCCATGTTGGTCAGGCTGGTCTCAAGCTCCAGACCTCAGGTAATCCGCCCACCTCGGCCTCCCAAAGTGCTGGGATTATAGGTGTGAGCCAACGCGCCCGGCCCTAAAATCATTTGTTAAAATTAAGCAGTAAAACACGAACTGTAATTGGTGGGTTTCATAATTTTATTCAAAATTAGTTAAATCAAGCTGAATTTTAAAATTGTTATAATTTTAATAAAATTTTGTTGTCTCATAAAAACAATACTGTTTGTAATTTTACCATTTAATGTCCAACTAGTTGACAATTAAAAGAATCAATACTATGTTTAAGTGATATTATAGACCCATATATATACAAATTTCAAAACAATCTGAATTGCTTAACATTCCAAAATGTTTCTCAGCTGCTACGTGTTAACTATTATGAATGCCACCCTAAAATCATAAGTGCCTCTGGAGCTGCAAATGGTAACAAGAAGAGAAATAAAAGAATCAATGTTCAGCGCTATTGAGAAACAGACTTTCATTATAAGGGGATCTATTCTATTTATGGTATCTGATAACCTGGATTTTACAAGTTAGTTTATTTGCCTTTATTCTTCTCTATGTGCAAGAGCTACACAAATCTCCCCTGCACTCTAAAGTACTGTTTGCTTCAAACATCCACAGCAGCACAATCCAGAAAGTCTCATGTAATCCAAATGTGGTTGCCTTGTACTCAAGATCCTAAGACAAGATACATAGAGAAATGTTTCCCTGAGGATTTAGAATTACCGCTTGTGTTGCACCAAGAACTACATGCAGAATCCCAGTGATAAAGAGACCCATCTGTTTTTTTGTTTTTGTTTTTTTTTTTTTTTTTCTCCAATTGCAGCGTGATTTATTGGACAAGACGTGCACTTTTTGACAGGGCCTCAGTAACCACGGTTTCCTTCACTGATCAGTACAGGACCAGGGTAAAGGGGCTTAAAGATAAGAAAGACAAACTCTTCCCATGAACAGATGGGGAAAGAAAGGAGGAAGAAGAGGCGTCTCCTCCCTTCCTCCTTCCCTAGTACTCTGGGCCTCCGTTCACCCTGTGCTGGAGTGGGGCTGACCAGGGGAAGCTGGGGGCAGCGTGTCACAGACAGACGTGAGCTGAGGCTGTGACTATCCACTCAGGGTCAAGATGGCCGAGTGGACTATCAACATTGTCCCCACTCAGGCCCCCAGATCTGGTCACTGTTCCAGGGCCCCCTCCCCACCCCACCGTGGGTATGGTTAAAAAATACAAAAGCCGGGCGCGGTGGCTCACGCCTGTAATCCCAGCACTTTGGGAGGCCGAGGCGGGCGGATCACAAGGTCAGGAGATCGAGACCATGGTGAAACCCCGTCTCTACTAAAAAATAGAAAAAAATTAGCCGGGCGCAGTGGCGGGCGCCTGTAGTCCCAGCTACTCGGGAGGCTGAGGCAGGAGAATGGCGTGAACCCGGGAGGCGGAGCTTGCAGTGAGCCGAGATTGCGCCACTGCACTCCAGCCTGGGCGACAGAGCGAGACTCCGTCTCAAAAAAAAAAAAAAAAAAAAAAAAAAATACAAAAGCGGATCCAATGCAGGATGTCATATGCAAACATACACAGGGACCGAGCTTCTGCAGTCTCTCCTGGCCACAGCCTCCACCGACAGGTGTGGCAGAGGGTAGGTGCGCCGAGGTGCTTGGAGAAGGGTCTCTTCTCCATCCAGGTAGGACGGGTGGCTGCTGTCACTAAGCTTGGGGAAGGTGGTTGATGAAGGAGGAGCAGAAACTGGAGGGTAGGACCAGAGCGGGGCTTCTCCTCTCCTCCGGCAGGGGAGGGGGCTGGCTAGTCAGAAGCAGATTGCTGGTACCTACGGGAAGCCAGTCGGGAAGAGGCTGAGGGGCTGGCTCTCATTGGTGGGCAGCGGAGATCGGTAGCCATCAAAGTTTCTTGGTATGCTGCCACTGGTGGAGCCTGAGCTGTTACTCAGAGTCTCGATGCTTCCCTCTCGCTGAAGTTCAAAACACTTCACAGCCACGTGTCTCTCGGGGGGGAAGGTTTTTACTGCTACATCAAGGGCTGTGTCTGTTCCGGATCCCACGACGTCCCGGCTGGGTGACTCTGCCATGGCGTCGGCGAGTCGCTCCCGGAGGCCCTCCTCGGTGTGCTCCATGGAGGACATGTGCCGCAGCCCGAAGCCCTCAGGCCAGCTCCCGCACACCTCCAGCAGGGTCACGCTCCGGTCAAAGGTACCTGAGGCAGCATCAATCACTGTGGAAACTCCCCTTCGATCAGAGACTGGACGGGATGACCCTGGCATACTGACTGGGTCAGAGCGGACTGGCTGGATCCTGAGACTGTTGAGATCAAGATCATCTGTATCAAAATCCAAAAGAGGCTGTGGCGTGTCACTCGGACCATGAGACTGCAACACAGATGAACTGGATGAGATGACTGTGGTTTGGCCTGAGGGATGGATGGTTTTGAACTGGAACTGTGGACCCATCCACAGACGTCTGTGGGGTCCAGTGTGTGTTACAATTTCAACCTGGGAAAGCCATTCTTCATCTTCCTGTCCACTATGGTCAGAAGCTAAACTGTCATAAGACCCATGTCGAGTAATGGGCCCAGGACTTCCAGGGGGAACCAGGCCAGCAAGCAGGAACTGATAATACTGTACTGCATCTGCAGCGAGGAGCAGAGGATGGTTCGCATTAAATGGTGGCTGCAATTCATTCCATTGAGGGGTTCTAACCAGAGTCCAGCTGGCTCGAGGCGATGTCATCATTTCCAGTGTCGTGTCATCACTAATCTTGGGGGCAGTGCTGAGGGGCCGCGGCTCCATCATGTGCTCCACTAAGGTGCCATAGCAACTGATAATGTACAGGGACTCAACTACAACTTGTTTGGACTGATCTTTTTCTCTTTTCAGACCTGCATTATTTGCAAACCATGACCTGGATGTTCCGAAGACAGCAGCCACACAAAATTCTCCGCCCATCGATTTGCTGGGTGAAATTTGTGGAGGAGGTTTAACTTTGCCTGTTCGTTTGGTGATGGTCCCCAATGTCATTGGCTGCTTGATTTGTGCAAGAGGCATCACTACCATCAAGCTGGGGAGAGGAGAGAGTCGAGGGTTGCCAGGGTTGTTGTTGGTAAAATTGTTATAGGAGTCTTGGCTGTTCAGTTTTCCATGCAAGGGTGACCCAGAAGGGTTGCTTGATAGACCTGGAACAGGGCTACAGCGACCTCCTTGCTTAGATGTCAGTTCTTGTTCAATCTCTTCCAGTCCAGCACTTTTCTGGAAACGGCTCATGCGATTCACTACTCGTGGTGACATATGTGTACGAACACAAGGCTGGCCACCATAAGGGTTGATGGGGAAAACGTGGTAAGTACCCCGGAGAGTACTGACCACAACCCAGTGACAGTCATGGCTGAAGCAGATGTCTTGTACTTTGGCTTCAGTTTCTCCCCTGTGAAGAGTATACAGATGGTGGACAGCACATTGTGATGAGGACCAAGGATGAGTCAGAATTTGGAAGACATGAAAGTCATGGCCAAGGGTGTCTGTTGTGACTAGAAGCATTCCGCTTGTATTAAAAGCCATGTAGCACACTGGCTTCTCATGGGCAGGGAAGTGGGCCACAATGCCATCACTGTCAGAATCCTCACTCACAAGCACCTGGCCCTCTCCAACAGTTTCGGTGTCAATAACTGTGATGATGCCTGGGACCAAAGGACTCCGCCGTGAATTACCGTGGATGGCAACATCATCTTCTGTCACACCTGAAGGTAGCGTGCCTGTCAGCTGAGTCACCACTTTCCCCACCATTGTCAGGCCACTTTTCAGTGTCTGTACAATGAAAGGTAAAATGTATGACTTCACATCAGTATTTGGATTTTTAGCAGCACTAATGACTGTGGCAGTATAAGACTGAATGTTGTCTCCACAGGCTCCACCACGGGACTGATGACATCGAATCAACTTGTTTTCTGCATAAGCAAGCCAGCGGCTCCCAAGAGCAATAGGATTCATGTTTGGCCCTGGACATGGATAGCAGCTTGTGACAAAGAATTTCTTCGTGAAAGTACAGCTATCAAAGGCAGCAATTTTCTCCTGCAAGACTACGACAAGGATCCGTTTATTGCAATGGAGATCATAAATAGGGGTCTTAAATTGAATGGACTTGACCATCTCCCCGGTACGAAGTGAATACAGATCCACACAACAGTACGGTGGGCTTGTGCCAGAAGATCCAATGCTCTTACAAACACCAAGGAGGGGTCTTTTTTCAGCAAAGTTATCACATTTTTGAGCACCAAACTGTGGAGCAGGCAAGATTCTAGCCGCTCGAATTGGGCCATGCCGAACAGAGAAGAGCTCTTGTGCTTCCCCACTGATAGGGACACTCCAGACCTGCATTCCATCACTGTAGCCAATCATAATCAGCAAAGGCGGTTCATTCCCAGTGCTATGTATTTCATGAAATTCCAGATTTCTTGATGTATCATTTAAATCTGCATTTTCAAATCTGACCCAGACTATTTTCTCCTTTTCTTCTGTTAGAGGTGTTCCACTGTAAGCCTGTGGCACAACATCCTGCAGAAAAGTCACAACACTTTCCATGTAGGACTGCTCTGTGACAGCCTGGGGACGAACCACAACTCCACCAGTACAACGACTGGGTCTTCTTGGGGAATCTGTAGCCATAGCTTCATTCATAAAACCGGCCGCCCCGCCGGTTAACGCTGTTCTCCATCTGTTTTTTAATACATTTTTTTTCCCCATGGTTTTGTCATATCCCAGGCCCTCTGAAGTGTGGAGCCCAGGGCAGGGACCAGCCTTGCCTGAGTCTGAAAGAAAATATTGACTGGGTCATTTGGATTTTTCTTCTTACGATTTTGGAATTTAGGACTAAGGTTGTTGGGAACGGAGCCATGTTCATGGCAGAGGAATGGAACTTCCCTTTGTGGAAGTTCCTGGATCTTCCAGAGCCTGGGGAGTTTTCCTCTTCCTTGGATTCCAGGAGATATGGTAATATTCTTTTAATAAATGCCCCTTCTGTGTAGAAATGCTTGTTTGGTTTCTGATAGTTGTAACCTAAAGAATCTTTAGTAAGCCATTGGTCTGCTGTAGGGAGGGACGAGATGAAACTGGAGCCTTGGTTGAACCCAGATCATAAAGTCACTCCAACATCTTCATACCAGGGGTAGGAAACACAGCTTAGGAAACATACTGTCTCTTTAGCCTGTCAGATTACCTTGGAATAATTGTATAAAGGTCTCTATTCAGCACTTTCCATTGTTTCACATATGATTATATGATGTCATTGGATGAGAAGGATTTTCCTTTCAATGGGCAACTTTGGGTGTGGGCTGAGTGTCAGGGAAATAGGAGCTGTAATTGTCTCCTCTTATTGTCCTATCAGGTTCTCTCAGCTTCTAGCAGGTAAGGAAGGACTGGGATTTTAGATACTCATTTATCTCAATCTTGTTCGAATCAAGTCTTTCTTGTTTCAGAGAGGAGGAAGCTGTGCTGTGAAGGATTCTTTTTCATCATGATTATTGTATCCACAGGAGCAGTGATAAATTCTAATAGATAATGCAACTCAGTCTACTTGGATGTTCACCCCTGAGACTGGATAAGACCTGCTGCCTTCTACAGAGCCAAACATTCCTCACATGCTCCTTCACAATGCTGCAAGCCATATTTATTCATTTAAAAGCTAGTTCCTCGCTGTTTCTTGTGCATTAATTCTTTTAAAACTTTTACAAAACAAACTAAATTTAAAGAGGAAATTATTTACTGTAGAACTAATGGTCTGAAAATAGTTGTCCAACATAGCATTGCACATAGCAACAGGAAGTAGTTTATATACTAGGAAGTCTCTTTCAAATGTGCTTGGATATTGCCAAAATTCTCTGCCTTATAAATGAAGGAGTTCTTTTTTATATATTTTAGAGTCAATGCAGCAAGAATAATCTTATATAGACTATAAGCTCCTGGAACACTGTGTCTACATTGTTCACTGCAGTGTCCCAACATTTAAGACCATGGTCTTAGATGTCTGGTATAGGACTGGTGCTCAGTATGCACTGAATGAATAAATGAATGAATATAGCAAAGCATTCAGTGATGTTCTCTTGAATTCATTTATTCTTTGAAATTCGTTTTTTTGTTTGTTTGTTTGTTTTGGTGCAGTGGTTATGTACTACTAGGAGTATGACATGGGTTCTTCAATAAATCTCTTCAAATTATAATAAAGATTTAGTGCTAACCTTCTGCTCACTATCTCCCTCTAAGTACTACAGATGGATATGATTAGCATGCAATTTATCATCTTGATGGAATTCATGTCTTACAGGCATATGGGTTTCAAAATTGAAGTATCTAGATTTAGTTTGTCAAATAGAAAATGGTTTTACTCTGTTGAGATTCCTATGCTTAAAAATTTATATAGACCTTAAAAAAATCCTAAAGAAGAGTTTGAAAAGTATGCTTAGGCATTCTTCTGGCCACATAGACTACAGAGGAGAATAAGCTTAAGGAAATCATCAAGTAAAGTAAAAAACATAGTAAAACTGGTAACGTACCACCTTTCATGTAAGATAAAATCAGATAAGATTTTAAAAAGAAGCGTTTATGCTATGCTTAGGAAGCCAATCCTCTTGAAAAATCTGATATTGCAGCCATATATGTCTGTGAATAGTTGTAACAGGTTGTAGGTAACATTTCTGAGGGCATGATACAATGTAGGGGGACTCGATCTGTGGTCTTGGGGTCCTCGGGGAAAGGGGTATGTGAGCAGTTCTTCCAAAGTGGCCACTAAATCCACCTGTATAGTAAACGGTGTCTGACAACTAAATAAATAACTTCCATATGTACTTACTGCTGTGTTTTAAATGGATGCAAGGGCTGGAGTGATAACTACGATTTAATTTGTGAAAAGATCTCTAGGTTTTGTAGCATTTGCAGATTTTATGGACTTTCTCTGCAAATAAATATTGATAGTTCAGTGCTATGGTTTGAATGTGTTTTCCAAAAGTTCATGTGTGAGAACCGTGGTTTCTCAGTATAGCAGTGTTGGGAGGTGGGACCTTGTTGACGGTGTTTAGTCATGGGTGCTTTGCCCTCATGAAGAGATTAATGCAGTTCTCATGGAACTTGGTTCGTTCTCAAAAAGCGGGTTGTAAAACAGGTTGGCACACTTTGTCTCCCCTTTCCTGCTTCTCCACAATGCTATGAAGCAGCACAAGGCCCTCACCAGGTGTAGACCCACAATCTTGGACTTCCCAGACTCCAGAATCATGAGCTAAATCAACTACTTTCCTTTCAAGTTATCCAGTTTCAGGTGTTCTATTACAGCAATAAAATCAAAGACATTCAGCTAGCACAGAAGGGTAAGCCTGCTGAAAGGCATTGGGAGCAAGTGCAATGAAACCGAAAGATGGTCAGGGAAGTCCACCTCCCTCTGGCTCCATCAACCCATAGAATAAGCAAGAATGTTTGATACCACTAGGATAATATTTATTGGGCATGTGTAGCATATACTATTAAAAGGCTCATAATTTTGAACCTTTGAGAAAATTTGGGCAAGATCTGGGCTGAAGCTTATCTTTGCCCTCTTTATTATGTTTTGAAAATTAAACATTTGTTACCATTGAAGTAGATAATTTTAAAGTATTTAAGAAAAATAATGACTACATTACAGCATACAATTAATAACTAATTATAGGTCATTTTATTGAAGCAATATATTCTATTAGGAGGCATTTTGTTTTACTAGATCAAGTTATCATATGCACTAACTAAAAGATATATTGCAAAAATACTTTGTAAACTCTGAAGCACTAAAAATGCTGAGGTTATATACTTACAAGCAATAAAATTAGTTATACTTTAAAATACTTTAATAATTGCAAAAATAAAAAATCAATAACTTTCATATACATGAAAATAACCAATTAGAAAATATAAAGCAAAAAAACCCATTTATAATAGCAATAAGAAAAATAAAATATTTAGGAATAAGCTTAAAAAGTGTTCAAACCCTAAATGAAGAAAATTGTAAATATTCCTGAAAGACACAAAGGTAGAGGTGACCTAATAGAAAGACATCATCTTGAGGTCTTGGTTAGGATGTCTCAACGGTATTTGGATGTCAGTTTTCTCAAAGATAATTTATAAATTTGATAAAATTCCAGTGAAACAGCAATCCCTTTTCTTTCTGTAGCTAGCTGAATTACTACCAAAGTTTATATGGAGAAATAAACATGGTAGGGAAATACTGAAAAGGAATAAATACAGTGTGTGGATGGGGGGAGTGAGGTGAAGTAACAGAGACCAGCCGTACTCACATTAAGACATACTATAAAGTCTCTGCTTTAAAAACAATGTGGTACTGGCACATGAACAGATAAAACAGAATAGAAAGTCCAGAAACAGACCCAACAACATATGGAAACCTACACTAAGACAGAGGTGGTATTATCTCAAATCTTAGGGAACAAATGGGCTTTTAAATAAAGGTGGTGGGGCAACTGCATAGACAGTTGGGGAAAAGATAAAATTATGTTCACTTCTCACACATATAAGAGTAAGTGCCAAATGGATTCAAGGTCTAAATGTAACTATGCAAGTGCCAAAATAAAACAGAAATGAATCTCTCTAAAATTTGACTGTAGGTACATTTCTAACTATACCTCAACAGGCACATGAAAGAGAAGAAATGCTTAATAGATCTGACTACAAAAAAAGCAAGTGACAAAAGCCATAAACAAAGTTAAAAGACAAATAACAAACTGGAAGAAAATATTTGAAGTATTTATCACAGATACAGAGTTAATATCCCTATTACATAAGAATGTGTAAAATTGAGGACACACTGACACTATTATCTTCAAGTGGGCAAAAAACAGGAAAAATTCCCCAAAAGAGACATAAACATGGCCCTTAAACATAGAAAAAGATGTACAATTTCACTCGTGAAATTAAAACTGAAACTACACAGAAAGTCTTCTCACTCACCAGATTAGCACCTATTCAAAAGCTTGATAATATATTCCACTGAAGAGATTCTAGGGAAATGTGCACTCTCATACACCGACCATGGAAATGCAAAATGGTATAGCCCCATGAAGGGGGATTTGTCAATATCTAACAAAACCACACAGACATTTACTCTTCAGTTAAGCAATCCTAATTCCAGGAATATATCATGAAGATATATCTTCAAAATACCAAAATACAGGTCAGATGTAGTGGCTCACGCCTGTAACACCAACAATTTTGTAGACTGAGGCAGGCAGATCACTTGGGGCCATGGGTTACTTGCCAGCCTGGCCAACATGGCAAAACCCCATCTCTACCAAAAATACAAAAAAATTAGCCAGGCGTGCTGGCACTCCCAGCTACTCAGGAGGCTGAGGCACAAGAATTGTTTGAACCTGGGAGGTGGAAGTTACGGTGAGCCAAGATTGCACCACTGCATTCCAGCCTGGAAGACAGAGACAGACTCTGTCAAAATAATAATAATAATAATAAAAGAAGTACGTACATATAAGTTTCTTAACTGCAGCATTATTTGTAATAGCAAAATATTGGGAACTGTCTGAATACCTTAGAGTACTTCACACAACAGAGTACTAATCAATTTCACTAAAAGGTATTTCTATGAACTTCAGGAGGTAAGTTTTTTAAAAAAGCCAATTGTAGAAGAATATCTACAATATGCTACCTTTTGCATAAACAAGGAGAAA